AGTTACCCAACAGTTAGCCAGCAGAAGTTACCCAACAGTTAGCCAGCAGAAGTTACCCAACGGTTAGGCAGAAGTTACCCAACAGTTAGCCAGCAGAAGTTACCCAACGGTTAGCCAGCAGGACTTACCCAACAGTTAGCCAGCAGTGAGTCCGTAGTTACCCAACAGTGTCAGCCTAACCGCTGGCTCACACGGTTGGGTAACTACCGGCTCACTGCCGGCTAACGGTTGGCTAACTGAGCCAGCAGCGAGCCATCACTGAGAAAGCACTGACACAGCACTGAGCTACCTTCTTCCCCCGAATACAACGCACGGTCATTATAGCTGTATTTAGTCCGAAAGATGCCCCAAATAACGACCGTGCGCTGTATTCGGGGGAAGAAGGTAGCAGTTAGTAGGTAGTGAGCCATTGGCTAGCACTTAGCCAGCATCCAGCCAGCAGGTAGGAGTGCGGCAGCAGTAAGACAGCAATAAGCCAGACGGTGAGAATGCAGTGTGCCTGCCGTGTGCCCACACCGAGGCTGTAGGGCCCTGCAGTGAGCCATCAGAGCGAACCTGTTCTTAGCCTGAGTTGAATGTCCAGCGAGCCTGCCGTGCACCTACACTGATCCTGCAGTGGGTGTGCAGTGGGCCTGCAGTGTGCTTGCAGTGAGCCTGCCGACCAGAAACCACAAGCATTCACTGCAGAGGCTACATTCACGTTCGGTTGCTGGCCAAATAAAACAAGCCCATGAAGTCTGGTCTAGTCACTAAAGTGCACCAATGTGCAATCTGACGTGAATGATGTCAAGTCGTGGTGTTCGTTGTGGTAAGCAAGGTAGAAGATGAGCGGGATACTCAGTGCCTATCAGAGAAGGGATGACTCTGCAACTAGCAGTTAAAGGACAACTGAAATGCCCTGTCATTCACGATGGAAGCAAGGCTACTTGGGTTGCCCGGCTGTGCAACCCGGGCAAGTCACCTGGGGGTCACCTGCACAGGGCATCCCCAAGCAGCAGGGTTGCATCCCTGCCGACCGCCGACCCCGACAGCCGACCGTATTGCAGCCGACCAGTAGGGCCGACCGGTCAGCGGTCTGCTGACCAGTCAGAAAACAACCATCCACTGAATTTTTTTCAAATCTGAGTTGGGGGATGTACTGCACTTGCTGAGTACAGCCCAAATCCGCTGAGAAACTTTTGGGGATGGGGAGGGAGCGGGTTATAAGGGGGGTATGGGGGGGTATAGGGGTGATATAGAGGTGATATAG